AAAGGCAAGAGAGAGAGCTGGAGGAGGGCAGAGGCGTGATGGCGATGATGCTCATGTGCGATGGCGGTGATGCTCCCGTACCCGACGCCGATGGAGACAAAGGCAAGAGAGAGAGCTGGAGGAGGGCAGAGGCGTGATGGCGATGATGCTCATGTGCGATGGCGGTGATGCTCCCGTACCCGACGCCGATGGAGACAAAGGCAAGAGAGAGAGCTGGAGGAGGGCAGAGGCGTGATGGCGATGATGCTCATGTGCGATGGCGGTGATGCTCCCGTACCCGACGCCGATGGAGACAAAGGCAAGAGAGAGAGCTGGAGGAGGGCAGAGGCGTGATGGCGATGATGCTCATGTGCGATGGCGGTGATGCTCCCGTACCCGACGCCGATGGAGACAAAGGCAAGAGAGAGAGCTGGAGGAGGGCAGAGGCGTGATGGCGATGATGCTCATGTGCGATGGCGGTGATGCTCCCGTACCCGACGCCGATGGAGACAAAGGCAAGAGAGAGAGCTGGAGGAGGGCAGAGGCGTGATGGCGATGATGCTCATGTGCGATGGCGGTGATGCTCCCGTACCCGACGCCGATGGAGACAAAGGCAAGAGAGAGAGCTGGAGGAGGGCAGAGGCGTGAGAGAGTGAGAGAGAGAGAGAGAGAGAGAGTCACAGAGTGAGAGACAGACAAACGTATGGAAGTGTATTTTTTAAACCTTTCTTTCCTGACCAATTTTTGTAGTCGCCAATGAAATTGCCCTCCGAAATCTGAAGCCCAATTTTTAAAATTTTTAATTATAATCGCCAACTAAAATTTAGTCGGTAAAAGTAAATTAATACCGACTAAATTATTTTTAGTAGCTAAATATTATACATTTAGGGACCAAAATTTTTTAGTCGCCTATAGGGTAATTTTTTAGTGACTAAGTCATTTTTAGTCGCCTATTCAGTAACTTTTTAGCTACTAATTGTAATTTAGTCACCTATTGGGCTATTTTTAGCGACTAACTATTTTTTAGTCCCTGATTGGGTCATTTTTTGGCTACTAATTGTGTTTTTAGTCGCCAATAAGTAATATACGGCTACTAAAAAATTTTAGTAGCTAAAATATGCAACATTGCCGACCAATTCAAATTTTAGTCACCAAAGTGCTGAATTTTGGCGGCTAAATTAATTTTAGTCGCCAAATTTGGTCGTCAAAAGTGTAATTTCTTGTAGTGTATACATACGCTTGCCATAAGTTCTTTTGGCCACTGTTTGTTCGTATGACATATATTTCATGCAAGAATAGGTTCTAGTGTCTTAGAAGATGTCTGTGTAGTTATGGTAAGCGAATTTTAGGTAGGCAGGTACACCGGTACTAGGGAAGGAGAGTTTATAAAGGTTGGTTGCCCGCAATTAGGGTTTTACATAATTAGAAGTCTTCAAATTACATCATGTGCCTCTTGTCGCTTGAATAGCATTCCCTATCCCCTTCGCCTATGAAGCACATATATTTCTAAAAGAGTGTTCTATCCGTTTCGTACCCATATTTGATACTGATATTTTTTGAATATTTGCAGATATGTATTTGAATTTCCTAAATGTATTCGATACTTGATGTCAAATTTTGAGAAGCTTCGAATATCGTTTAGACACTCTAGGTCACGTATCCAAACTATTATGAAATTAAAATTTTAATAATTTTTGTATATTATTAAAGTATAATTGTTAGAATAATTTCAAGAGTAACTTTTCAATATTTTCTTAAATCTAGTTTTCTTTCTCTCTCCGGCGAGCTTCGCCGGCAGTGATGAATGACAATGAGGGCTTGTCGTTGGTTGGGTACACCAAACTTATGACTATTGGTGGTGGGGGTTTTGGAGTGAGAGCTAGAGAGAGAGAGAGAGAGAAAGAGAGTGAGAGAGAGAGAAAAAAGGTCTAAATATTAAGGGAAAAAATGTCTAAAATTTAAAAACTAAGGACTTTAACTAGAAACTAATTTTTTTATGGATTTAAACTCTTACAAAAATATTTAAAAGGGTGTATTGCTAATTTTCCTATAAGCATTGTCATTTACTATATCTTATGTAAATTGAATAAAAATCTTAATGATTAATATTTAAAATTAGCGCTATCTATATAATATAACACTATATAAAATTTTCTTTAATAATGGCCCTTTCAAAGAATATTTAAATAGAAAATTAACTCTATATATAATCTATACCATTTAAAATAATTGATATGACTTCATGCTCAAAAATTCTAATTTAATTTTGTTACACATGTCAAATTATTAGTAAATTTAAGCGGTATTTACATAGACACTCCTTAAACTATTGTCAAGTATCATTTTGACCCCATAAACTAAAAAAAAAAATGTACAAATTGACCCCTAAAACTATTATCAAGTATCATTTTGACCCTCTAAACTATCATGAACCTGTGGTTGAGGTTGTTGTTTTTCAACATAAAAGCTCAATTTTGTGATGGAACTAGAAGTTCTATGCTTTGCTATTTATATAACAAATGAAAAGGAGTCAAGATGATTGATAGACCATGCATAATAATGTGATCAGCATGTGATGCCACTGTGGGCAACTCCCTTTGAATTAGGTTAATTTGTTACAATGATTTGTTATTGTATTTTATATAGTATGAGGTGTCCCAATAATGTGTTGTCACCACCCTTTTGCCTCCCCTGCATTGCTCCATTGCTGCCACATTAGACTGTTTGCTGATATAAAATTGAAGGTGCCTTACCTCGACAAACATGGCATGTCAATGATGTCTTGTTTGGAAGAACCTCAAGTCATCGATAAAAACAACAATATGATTATTGAATGATATCATAAAATGATGAAAAATATATTATAAATGGAATCATAATTCACCATTTTAAAGTGAATGGTCATTCCATAAACAGATTAAGGAATGAGCATTCCATTGCATTACACACTTATTCGAGTGAACCAAACATAAGTACAAATCACAAACTAACAGTTTGTACTGCCTTTGCAAAATTCAAATTTCTCAGTCTCCAGTTGGCTTACTTTTAGGTTGAAGATTAGTCTTGTTTCATCAGTCAATGCTTCCATGCACATTTCAGTAATTGGTCTAACACCTTTTATTTTCTTTTATTTATTTATTTTATCTACAAGAAAAACCTTGCAAACTGTACAATCACATTATAATATCAATTCAGCTAAAACTAGTCCAGATCTTTTAAAGAAGAATTAGTGTAATGATGTTATCAAAATGAGAAGACACAAAAGCATTGCAATTTCACATGCTCATCGAAACTATGAGGAGACAGTGATTCTTCTTGTCTCCGGCATCTTTCGTTCATAGTATATCTCCAATTCATGATAAGAAATACAGTGCATTTGAAATTTGAAAATGCGTATATATCTTATTATGTAAGCCCACTCCCACTACCAGTTAATGCATATATCTATTTCTTTTCGATAGGATGGAGTAATGCACTATGGGGGCTCAATACAATGAAAGTTGGGTTATGTGTTATTCAATTGTAACAAGTTACCTTTGTCCATCAAATAATGAAGCCTGTTGCTGTATTTGTCTTATACTGCATAATGCAATATATATGCCATGACACTGTACATGCCAGTAGTCCTTATATATTCCATCCATGCATGCCAATATAAAAACCATACCTTTCCATGGAATTCATGTGGATGGATCATAAACAACTCGATTGCATAATGCTAGATATTATCATTGAACATTTTTCAATTAAAACAGGTGGAACAATCGGTGCTCACTGTGATTATCTTTTTTGGCATTGTCTGTTTGTGTTAGTGCAAAATTATTTTTCAAGAATCAAAATAATTGGCTCTGACTTTTTTCGGACAGGAATGTATGGTTGCATGCTATAAGCATATTTTTGTTGATCAGCTCATGTAAACAATTCATACCATCTAAAGTCAGATTGGCATTTATTAATTACTTTTAGGATTATTAAAAAAATTTCAATCATTCAGGCTTCCAAAATAGTTAGATTTCATAACCCAAATTCTCCTCATTTTTGGTTTATCTTTTTCTTTTCTTTTTTTACATTTATTTTTAATAATATGAACTGATTTGTGACCTTCCATTTTCATCTGTACAAATTGATCAAGGTGAACCTGCTCCACGATATTTACAAATTAGCTCAATATATAAGTTAAAATGGATTTGTACAATTGGACTCAAAGTTCATAAATTTCCCAAGGGACCGAACATAAAACTGAGGTACTTCAATTACAATGAGACATGTCGGGAAAAAAGAAGAAGCAGAAAAACAGAGCAAAACAAGTTACATTGTAAGAAGTGCAACTAATTAATGCTTTTATATCACTACAAGAAAATAAGAAATTAGCGGCGCTTTTAAAGTGACAGCAGTCCCTATGTTGACATTGAAAAAAAACGCTGCCTTATAAAGTTGCCGGCAAATTCCTCGGGCTGGCATGACATCATTTTTGACTTTTTAACGGTGTTTCCACAAAAGCATAGAGCAAAAATAAATCAACTCTATTTCAGCTGCTAATAAATCATTTACTCACCAAATCCATGCTGCAGAATTCCAAGTCTCTGGATAATGTAAATTCATGTTACCACATGAACACAAACCGTAAACAAGTAATTATGAGAATCAAAGAGAGAACTTATGAGAGAAAAAAAATGAGGTTTGAAAAAAGCTGATTAAATGTTTTCAAGAGGTGATAAAACAATAATTCATTATTTGTATTGCTAGGAATCTAGAAATGAAGTACATATCTGTTTTACTTTCCAATCTTCCTGAACCAGAACAGAAATTTGCCCCCTTAGTTTCTTGTACAGAATTGTTTCTGCTACAGAGTTACTTGCTTAAACATTATGCATATGGACTTGCATTGATTGATGTTTATGCTATCACAATTTTGGCATTTTTTTCATAAATTTTGAGGAGAGAGAGAGAGAGATAATACTTTAGTCAAGCTTTAAAACTTGCATTGTATTTACTTGCATAACTACAAATTTTGATTCATGTACATGGCTAGATAGCTATCGAATACAAAACTGAAATCCACACACATATCCTCTAAAACTCGGATATGCAGGATATGGGGGACATCTATTGAGCTCAGATTAGTGGGAGACTATGTTTAGAAGAGTGACCCTTGCTTTAATGAATCGCCTAAACAAGCACTCCAAAACATTCTCAACCTCTTCAATGCTAGCCTCCAAAGACTTGAGGCTGTTCTGCGCAATTTGCATCTTATCCCCTTCACTTGAATCACTTCTGCGTAGGCTGTGCAATGTAACATCGACTCTCTCCAACTCATTCACATTCTCCTGTTGATAAATTTCGCATGCCACTGTCCATTTGTGCAGAAATTTTGAAACCAGTGACCGCCTTGTTGGCATTGATTTCAAAACAGGCACAGACAAGAACAAGAGAAGTGAATGGAGAATAGAGATGGTCACTGCAGCAACTTCTCTTAGCACTTTAATCACTGATGAGACGTGTTGATCTAGCTCTAGTTGTGGTGTGGCCTCAATTTTGTTGTCAATTTGCTTCATCATTGCAATCAACGTCTTGGCATCCTTCTTGGTGTTCTTCCTAAAGCAAGTGTATTTAGCAATGCTGATTTCAATGCTTGAATCTCCTTTTCTCCTTCTGAGAGCAGATTGAAGATCTCTAACTTGTTCCTTCATTTGTGTTGTGACATCCCTCGCAGTGCCACAAGTATCCAAAAGTGTTATAAATCCTTCTTGCAAGTCACCAACCCATTTTTCATGTTGATCGTGAGAGAGTGCTTGTTGGGTAAGTGGCAAGTTTAGAAGATCTTCCATGCACTTGTACAAGTCTTCCAATCTTGATAGACCATTGTGGATTGCCTTTGCAGTTGGCGGAGACGTTGCTTCCCATGTCTTGATCTTGTTCAGCTTCCTGTGTTTGCTATTATAAAATTGAGGCTGCCTCACCTTTTGTCTTGTTTGGAAGAACATGGAGTCATCAATAGCATCAACAACAAATCTTATTGAATTATACCAATAAAGACACAAGAGACAATGAGATACAGATTTGGAAGGACTAACAAATATTTTAGAGATAATGGGATATTAAGGTTAGGATTAAAGTAACTTAGCCAATATTTTAATTTGTGCACGAATGGCTTGCTTTCTATGTGTGCTCACTTTGTTCACTAACAATTTTCTATGGAGCACAGAGACTGATTGATCAGATGGCTAAGGGATTGTTTGGGATGATCTAAATAAGTATACCTTTTGTCTTTTTACGAAAAGATATGCAGAAAAGTAGAGAGGTGATGTGATGAAAAAAAGATAAAAAGATAAAAAGATAGATTATTCTTGGGTTGCCAAACTTGGCCTAAATTAAATAGAGATTAAGCTATAAGCGGCTGTCCAGTAAATAGTTTACGGACTGCAATAATCAGTTGCCATACCCGCAAAGTTTGTCTTCGTGTCAAATGTAATTTTCAACGTTTTACCATTGAATTGTAATTAAGTATCCCAAATGCCACTCTCATACAATCTTCCTCAACCCCTCCATCCAGACTAAGACCAGCCCTAAGGAACCTTTTAACAAACACTTTACCTACAATAAATAGGCTAACACTACCTCACCTTAAAAATCCAAACTAAAACAAGAAAACAAAACCACCACCACCAACTCTACAAGACAAAACATTGCCAGCTCTACAGTCACATTATGATATTAGTTTAAATGAAACTACTCTATCCCAAAAGGGACACAACACAACACAGGATTTTTTTTGGGGGGGAAGAAGAATTAGTGTATTGGGTGACAATGAGGCATGAGGGAGGAGTCAGTAGATATATTTCTATAAATGTCATGGAAATTGATGTTAGCCTTTTTAAAAATGAGAAAAAAACAGAAGCATATTGGTTCTTTCACATGCTCATTATAACTACGAGGAGACCATGATTCTCATTGTCTCCACCATAGCAAGTTGTTTTGCACATTTAGGGAGAAAAAGGCAATGAACATTTGAAGGGGGGGCCCTTCACTCTTATTTTTTTTTTTCTTCAACACATCATGGACGTCGAGATCCTAAACAGGGACGGAACTAAGATTTTAATTTTGAAGGGATGAAAACATGTGTAACTCTTAATTGATAATTTTTTTTCATTTAACATTAGAGTAGAAGTACCAAATTATACTAAAATTAGACATTTGAACGGCTGAAGTAACTCTTTTACGTTAGATATGCTCTTAAAATATGTCTTTTATTATGCATATCACATGTCAACGATGAACTAACTTAATTAGGCATAATATTTTGGTATCTTGGAGCTAATAATTGTGAACCCTTAAAAAATAATACTACTATAAGCACTCTCATTCATATCTAACATAATCACAATGTACGTAACAAATATCAACAACAATATTCGTAACTTTTCTTCTTAAAATGTTTTGTAACATTTCTCATACATTTTCAATTTTATTATAATGTGGTCCTCGTAGTTAAATATTGATATCTATTTCATGTTAAACATTATATATGCATTTTTACATGCACTAGAGTGACGTTGCTTTTATTTTATTTCATTTTTTAAAATATCAACTACAATATTCGTAACTTTTCTTCTTAAAATGTTTTTGTAACATTTCACATACAATTTTAATTTTATTGCAATATGATCCTTGTAGTTAAATATTGATATTTATTATGCATTTTTACATGTACTAGAGTGAAGTTGCTTTGATTTTTTGTTTTTTTTTCATTTATTTCCATCCAATTTATTTCCATCGACACATCCCTCTACAAATTAATGAAACATACACAACCACAGTCACGACAATCACCATCCAATTTAGTTAGGAAATAGATGTGTACCTTTACGGTTTGGACCTTAATTTGTACATCTGCCTCTTTTGGACTGTATGAGCAGAACATGATTTCGTTATCGGAGGGGTTGAAAGAGAAATAATTTTTTTCATCATATACACACAAAATACATATGTATTTATAATATGATATATATAAATTATATATATTAAAAAAATTTTAAATACTATAGAAGTAATTTCTAATAAGATGAAGAAGTTTTTTTAGTATAAAATAGAAAGAGAATTTAAGATAGAAAAAAAATGACATATATATATATATATATTTTTATACTGAGAGTGACATATATAAATACATATATTTTTTAAAAAATTTTATGACAAACAATAATTTTCATAAAAATAGGGGGCCATGACCCATAAAATGATATTATGTAAAAATTTAGGAAAGTTTTATAAACAGAGACGCCTTTAAGAATTGCTAGAAGAACAAATATTAGGGTGACTATATATTCTTTATACCACATGTTGTTTAACCACCAGACTGACATACTCACAACTCTTAAAAATTAATAATTGAATTCATGTGGGACCTATTATACCAATTATTTATGGATGTTATCACATTAGATAGCAAACAAAATATGACACAAATATAAAATAAGTCAGTTTCATCCTGCCAAATTGAGTAGTATAATGCTAATTTTGACACCATGAATAGTACTTTATTGGAGCGTATTTTTAGTTTCTATCATGTGAAATTTGACGATAACATATTATTAGAGTTGTTCTAAAATTGTCATTTAAATAGTATATTATTTGGGAACTATTCTTTTTTTGTTAGTACCTGTTGACACTAAAAATTGTACATTTTCTGTCGATTGTATGTAACAAATGTAGGGAATTGGTCCAGCGGACGTTAGGTTTAAAGACCACAAGTGTCCACAAGTTTACAAGTGAAGAGTGAATGAATATGAAGCCTAGAATACAGAGCAAGTGACAAAAAGGCAATAGTCAAAGAGACAGACGTGGCAGTTGTAGTTTTCCTGTCAATTCGTCCAGTAATGAAGGGGAATGTGGCCATACATGGCCCAGGCGTCAAGCCATAAAGTTAGCATGCAAGGCATACACGATACGCGTCATGTTTCCTAGAAGGAGAAAAGCTGCAACGGAAAAGCAGTTGCTAGTAGTTGCAGAGATCATGGGCATTGAAGTGGAGGTAGTTGGCTATATGATGGGACATGTGGCAGCAGAACAGCAGTGGAGTTTGAAGACTAGCAATATAAAAGCTGGGAATTCAAAGTTAGAAAGGGACAAACAAATTTACAACCCTTATAGCATTAGGAGTAACTTAACTTAGCTAGTTCTTACTTAGGAGTAGTCTATCTGTAGTTCAGTTTCTATAACTAAGAATTCTCTATCGATTGTCATGTACATTGAACTGGGAAGTTTAATTTTACTAATTAAATTCCAAGTTTGTTTGTTCAACAATTGATTTTCAGTTTATTCATTCTTGTTTCTTCGCATTAAAGCCCCCAAAGAAGTCCTTGAATCTGTCAAGGCATAGAACGTTCAGACCACAATTGCTTGATTTGTTGTTGTTTGTAAAAGTTTGGCTTCTCTGTCGAATCACCCTTGTCGATTTGGCCCAGACCAGAATTTTTGCTAACATATTTTGGCACGCCTAGTGAGACCTTTCTAATTTGGAGTAATGGCTAGGAAGAAACAACATGAAGTCTTTGAAAATCTTGAGAAAAGGGTCGAAGATGAAGAAGAGTTGAACGATGGAGTTGAAGGAGTACAAGACAACTTAACTGATGGCCATTCAGTGGCCAGACAAGAAATAGGCCAAGGAAATGGCCAAAATATGGCCAGAACTGGCCAATCCAGTTGTTTACCAGTCGATTCAAGAAGGGCTCTTTTGCTGCATACCTAGCAAGCAATTGGTTCCATGTCAGCATATGAGAACCAAGTGATGATTGATGACCTAATGGCTTTGTTTGAGAAAGCCAACATCAAGCCCAGTCAATCAAGAAAGATTAGAGAGGAAGCACAAGGGAAAAGAGCACAACCTAAGCCCCAAATGACCCCTCAATAGCATAAAAAAGTAAGTGAACTCGTATCATTTTATAGACCTCCCACACTTCAAGAGAGATATAAGGAGGGAATGAACATAAATCCAATGTTTGAGAGGGATCTACCCACATGTCATACAAACCCAGTGTTTAATTACAATGTAAATAATATGGGAATGAGACCTGGGGGGTAACTAAGGCCACAAATGTATGATAATCTTGCATTTGAAAGGCCTGGTTATTAGGCTATGGCAGAACAGAGAAATAGGCCATTTAATTAAGTAAGGCCTCAAGACTCAAGGGATTATACCATGCCTCAACCATAATTTGAACCCTACATGATACATCTAAGGCCTAGAGGGCCTGGTCCTCCTAATCCTTTCTTCCAACCGGAGGTTGAAGGAGGGGGGCAGCAACAACAATACTTAGAACCTCAAGTCAACAGACAACAAATAATGAACATTATACAAGAAATGTATGGTCCAGGCTTGAGAAGGCCAGATAGACCAATGTTTAGGAGTCCTTACCCTCCATGGATGGAAACAATTCCCATTCCAAGGAATTACAGAATTCCTGAGTTTACTTTATTCATAGAGGAGGAAAGACAATCAACCATAGAACATGTGGGCAGATTCATACTCCAGTGTGGAGAACTTGGTTATGATGATAATTTAAAGTTAAATCTCTTTCCTCATTCTTTGTTGAAAGTGGCATTTACTTGGTTTATTAACTTGCCAGAGAACTCTGTTCACACTTGGCAAGACATGGAAAATCAGTTTCATGCTCAGTTCTTTAGAACTGAACCTGAAATGACCATGGTGGACTTGTCAAAATTTAAACAAAGACAAGGAGAAAGTGCAGAACAGTATATTGACAGGTTTAAAAAACTAAAAAATCGCTGTCATGTATACATGCCTGAAATAGAAATAATAAGATTAGCCCAAAATGGTTTAGATTTTGAGCTTAGGAAAAAATTTGAAGGCATGATGTTTAGGAATTTATTCGAGTTGTCTTCAAGGGCAACTAGTTATGAGGCCATTCTCAGAGAAGAACAACATAGAAATGCAGCTTCATCAGGCACTTATTATCAAGAAGTCGAATTTGACATGGAAGTTGACATAGATGTTGCCCAAGTAATAGGTAAAAAACCTGTGGTTTGTGAGACATTAAGAAAGACAGACCAACCTGTAAGCATGCCAGCAACACAACCAGCCAAAAAGAATGTGGCTGTATCACATAGACAATATTCTTTTGATTTGTCTAAGGCAGATGCATTATTTGATGAGTTGTTAACAAATAAGTTTTTAACTCTAACTCCAGGCCACAACATTCCTAAAGAAAGGGACAGAGTTGGCAAGGAATATTGCAAATGGCATAATTCTTTCAGACATTTTACTAATAATTGTGTTACATTTCGTAATTGTGTGCAGGATTTAATTCAGAAAGGGATGTTGAAATATGCCGAAAAAGATAAAGAAGTAATGGCAGTTGACAGTGATCCATTTCCTAGTATGGTGGAAATCAATATGGTGGCTACTGATCAAAAGAAAAAAGGAAAAAATCCTAGAGTTCTGTTGGTGGAGTTGGAAAAACTTCACAAGGAAAGGCTGGAGAAAATGGCAAAATAAGAAAAAGAGTTCAAAAGGAACCAAGTGAGAGTTTCATCTGTTTCAGATGTGGTTCAAAGAAAGAAAAAAATAAGGCCATTGTGATTAATGGGATTCAACAAATTGGAAAATATGTTGGTCTAAGGTTTAATACCATGGGAAGTGGAGATTTACAAATTTTTGATAATGATTGTTTGTTCTATGATGGAACAGATCCTGAAATTTTTGGACCTACAGAGAATTATGGTAAGGATGATGCTCCATTCTTATTCCAGGGAGCACCTATTCATCCATGCTTGGTTGGAGCTAGTAATGTGAGGACTATGCTCAATCAACATAAGGGTCTTAAGCCTTATGGAAACCCAAAGGTTCTGACTAGGCCATATAATGGCCATCAGCAGCAATTTGGTGCATCACATAGTTACCATCAACAATTTGGGAGGCCATATGGAGGGCATCAACAATTGGCAAGACCATTTGGAGGATATCAGCAGCAGCATCATGGCCTAAGAGTGAGGCCAGAAATGCAACTAGTTCAGCTAAGAATGGTGAAACCTCTAATACCATCCCATTTGGGATGGCAAAGAGTGTCACATCCAAAGTTTCCTATGAGTGGTTGGAGACCAATGGGAGAAACAAGAACTCAGAAAAGGAGAGAGCAAAGAAGGTTTCATGCTATGATGTCCACTGCTGCAGGGGACAAACCATCTGGAAGATAAGACTTAGTTTGGACAAGGGAAGGATTGGTTCCTGCTGCTAAAGGAAAAGAAGTAAAAGGCTCAACTTCTGAGACCCATCCAGTGCAACCAGTTCAGATTTTGAAAAGGAAAATGGGACTAGAAGAGACTGAAGATAGACTTGTGGGTAAGCTTTCAGAGAAGGCTTTGTTAAGGCAGAAGCTGAAGCAGTTAGAAAAGGATATGATGTCTGATGAAGAGGATAACAATAACAAAAGAGATATGGTAATAAAAGATGATCAAGACCAGGAGATGGTCATTGATAACAAGGATGTTAATGAAAGGATTGAAGAAGATGAAGTGAAATCAGACAGTTCTGGTGGTGACTTTAGAGAAAAGTTGGCTGCCATTCATTTTGGTTCTTTACCCCCTTCCAAGGAGTGCAATATGGTTATGGCCATCCGACAGAGGTTTCAGGCCAAACCAAACCAGCTAGATAACTTGGCAGGTGACAGAACCAGCTGTTCAGATAGCAATAGTTGAAACACAGGACAAGCCATTGAGATCAATTGAGGTCATTAAGTCTGTCGATAGAGAGAAAATTGTATTTAAAAACCCAGAAGATAAGCTTATTAAGCATCTGAGGCCTCTATATGTTAAAGCTTTTTTGGATGGGGTACCAGTGGAAAAGGTGTTGGTAGACAATGGAGCTATTGTCAACATTCTCCCATCTAGGACATTGAAGGCTATTGGTAAGTCTGCCGATGCCTTACTTCCTACTAAGGTAAATATAAGTAATTTTTCTGGTGGATTATCTGAGGCTAGAGAAGTAGTAGCTTTACAGCTTCAAGTTGGTTCCAGATTAATGGGAACAACTTTCTTTGTAATAGACTCCATTTCTAATTACAATGTACTTCTGGGTAAGGATTGGATTCACCTTAATGGGTGTGTGCCTTCATCTCTACACCAAGCATTAATTTTTCTAACTGGTGGTGGTCAGAATAAAAAAGGAATGGAAATCTTCTAGGCTGATGCAAATCCTGTTGTTGCTGATGTCAACAACATAGAGGCTGTGCTGTATGATGAGGATTTGGGCCTAGTTGTGATTGATAAAGAAGAAGTCAAATCACAAGGAAAAGGCTTAACAACTGAAGGGTTCAAGGCCTTCGTTGAGGAAGGTTTTGAGCAGATAGGCTAGGAATTGGCCAAACCAAGCCTAATGCAGAAGCATAAGAGACCTGTGATAGAGGAAATAACTGAGGATGAGGAGTGATACAAGTGCAAGTAATAGAAGAAGACAAGCTGGAAGAGACAGCTGATGTAATTAGATCTACTTTTTCTAGGCTTTTTCTATTTCTTTTTAGAAAGTAAGTTTAGCCCTAAGTGTTTGCCTAATTGTTCTTGGGCAGAATGTGTAATCGATAGTAGCCCTCTGAGTTATAAAGAGGTGCAACTGGAACATCTAAAGGTAGCTCCTGCCAAACTTGATGATCTCAAGGCAGATGTGCAGGACCCTTTAGAGGAATATAACTTGGGAAGTAAGGCCTGTAAGAGGCCCATTTATGTAAATGCTAATCTATCTAATGAATGTAAGAGCAAACTAGTTAGTTTGCTTTCAAAGTATGTAGATTGCTTTGCATGGACGTATGAAGAAATGCCTGGATTAAATAGAACATTGGTGGAGCATAGACTCCCAATTAAAGGAAATTTCATTCCTCATAAACAACCTCCAAGAAGGATGACCAATGAAGTCACCTTATTGGCTAAGGAGGAAATTGAAAGATTACTCAAAACAGGTTTTATTAGAACAACCAGGTATGTTGAGTGGCTATCTAATATTGTCTCTGTAATGAAGAAAAATGGCAAGTTAAGAATATGCATAGACTTTAGAAATCTAAATCTAGCAATTCCTAAGGATGAATATCCTATGCCAATGGCTGACTTATTAGTGGACTCAATAGCCAAAAGCAGGATTTTGTCCTTTTATAGATGGTCATGCTGGGTATAATTAGATTTTTATTAAACCAGAAGATACACATAAGACAGCCTTCAGGTGTCCTGGTGCTCTAGGGACATTTGAATGGGTAGTCATGCCTTTTGGATTAAAGAATGCAGGGGCAACATACCAAAGAGCAATGAATTTTATTTTCCATGATTTGATTGGCAAATACTTAGAAGTATACATAGATGATGTAGCCATCAAGTCTGATAATTTTGATGAGCATTTGGAGCATTTGCAGCAAACATTTCAAAGAATGAGAACATACAAACTCAAGATGAACCCTTTAAAATGTGCATTTGGGGTATCTGCTGGAAATTTTCTAGGCTTCTTAGTACACCATAAAGGGATAGAAGTGGATGCTAACAAAGCCAAAGCAATTTTGGAGGCAAAACCCCCAGCCAACAAGAAAGAGTTGCAAAGTTTTCTTGGAAAAGTAAATTTTTTAAGAAGGCTCATAGCCAATTTAACTAAGAAAACTTTAGCATTTTCTCCTTTGGTAAAAATTAAGTCAGATCATGAGTTTAAGTGGAAGACATGCCATCAAGAAGCTTTTGATCTACTCAAAAAATATTTGGAAAACCCTCCAGTGCTTATGTCCCCAATGGCAGGAAAGCCTTTGAAATTGTATATCTTAGCTTCTGACCTATTGATTGGTTGTTTATTGGCTCAAGAAAATACTATAGGTCATGAACAAGCCATTTACTATTTAAGTAGAAGACTAAATGATGCTGAGACTAGGTATAACTCTATCGAAAAGATGTGCTTGGCACTTTATTTTGCAGCCATTAAACTGAGGCATTACAAGTTGCTTGCAGAAGTGTATGTAATGGCACAAACAGATGTGATTAAATATATGTTGTCCAAGCCTATCTTGAGAGGAAGACAAGGCAAATGGATACTAGTTTTAATCGAATATTGTTTCAAATATGTACCACAAAAAGCGATTAATGGGCAAGCCTTGGTTGATTTTCTAGCAGAATATCCTTGTTCCTCTGTCGATTTAGACCTGTATGAGGTCAATGTGGTGGAAAATGAACCTTGGAAGTTAATGTTTGATGGTTCAAAAACAGATGAAGGAGTTAGTGCAGGTGTTGTGTTGATTGCACCAAACAAGCAAATATAGCAATTTGCGTATCAGTTGGAAGCACAACATATTCAGTCTTGCAATCAAGCTGAGTATGAAACTTTGATAATTGGTCTAGAGTTGGCCATAGAATTCAAAATTAAAAGCCTCCAAGTTTTTGGAGATTCACAGTTGGTCATTAAGTAAGTTTTGGGAGAGTTCAAGTATGTAAGTGGTGTTCTAGAGGAGTATCTAACTGAGGTCAAATGGTTGATCAGTTTCTTCGACCATGTTACCTTTACACACAGGTATAGACTAGAAAATAAAGAGGCCAATGAGATGGCTCAAGCAGTTTCTGGTCTAAAAATACCTAAAGGAGCTCAGGAAAGGGTGATTCAAATTAAGAGAAGAAGTTTTTCTGCACTTAGAGATAGATGAAGAAATTTTTTGCCCATTCTCACGTTGGATATAACAGAGGAGGATTGGAGATTCCCCCTAATTAAATACCTATCGAATCCTAGTGAAAAGAGTGATAGGAAAATAAGATATCAAGCCCTAAATTATGTAATCATGGGAGAAGATTTATTCAGGAAAGCCCATGATGGACTGACTTTGCTTTGTATTGGCAAGTTAGACCAAATGAAGGCCATGACTGAAGCACATGAAGGAATTTGTGGAGCCCATCAAGCTGGTGACAAAATGAGATGGTTATTAACAGGTATGGTTATTTCTGGCCATCTATCAGAAAAGATTGCATAATGTATGCAAAAGGATGTCAGAATTGTCAGAAACATGGTAATATTCAAAGAGTTCCAGCCATTAATCCATAGACTCCCAATTAAAGGAAATTTCATTCCTCATAAACAACCTCCAAGAAGGATGACCAATGAAGTCACCTTATTGGTTAAGGAGGAAATTGAAAGATTACTCAAAATAGGTTTTATTAGAACAACCAGGTATGTTGAGTGGCTGTCTAATATTGTCCCTGTAATGAAGAAAAATGGCAAGTTAAGAGTATGCATAGACTTTAGAAATCTAAATCTAGCAACTCCTAAGGATGAATATCCTATGCTAGTGGCTAACTTATTAGTGGACTCAATAGCCAAAAGCAGGATTTTGTCCTTTATGGATGATTATGTTGGGTATCATTAGATTTTTATTAACCCAGAAGATACACATAAGACAACCTTCAGGTGTCCTGGTGCTTTGGGGACATTTGAATGGGTAGTCATGCCTTTTGGATTAAAGAATGCAGGGGCAACATACCAAAGGGCAATGA